CTGCAATTGAAGAACACGACTTCGATAATATGTATTCCAACAAGATGTTGACCTACGCCACGCGATTCGAACGAATATGGATTTATTGCGAGAGAAATTCCTCAGCTGCGTAGTCTGTCGTCTTGGTGATATCAATTGGCTGCCGAGATCGTATGAATTGACACCGTAGGACTAACATTCGCCGTTCGTTATGGATACTACACAATATAAGCCAAAAGGTGGTCGAAGATTATCAAATTTAGCGAAACAGGACTTTCCGCATGGTAGCACGCGCTACTAAGTCGAATATCACGTGGACCATGGTTTGATGGTTTCACCAAAGTCCGGCACTATTTATTAGATACGGATTCTATAACTTTGGACTGATTATTGCGGATAAAATCTCCTTCATTCGGCACTGGCGAGAAAGACTATTCCGGCTTTACTCCAGCTTCACTAGATGCCATTCGGGGTGACGAATAAATTCCTACTGTGTGCCGGGTATTAAAAATTCAAGCTCATTCAGCATACACAGAATGCCTTGGCTTTCAATTTGATTCTTCTTATTTGAATCTTATTGCGCTTTTACTTCGTTAGCAACCAAAAAAGCATCAAAGTGATTCTGTTGGAGAAAAAGCGGTGTGAGAGATAGACGCAGAAGATTGCTTGTGAGCTCTAGGCATATACATACATATTGTACGAGTATATGTATGTTTTGCATGCGTTACGTGTTAGAGCACTTGTCGGCTTTAACAGTTATATTTTAAAAATTCGCTTAACTAACAGATGAGTGAGTATGAGTGTGTTTTGTTCGTGCTCGCTTTTGCCGTTGCGGTCGTATCTACCGTTACAGTTGGCTAGCTGCTCGAAAGTCCTCCATCCGAATGGTTCGTTAAGTTTGCTGTCTGCTGGCATGTATGAGACTGATTGAGTTCGTGTCAAGGCGATTATGTACGAGTGGCAGGCTCTCTGCTTGCTTGCTCACGCGGTCGCTCTCACAAATAACGGCTTAACAAAATACTTTTACAATATAAGTTGGCATACATACATATGCACATAGTATGAACACACATGTAAAGCTTCGTTTGTTTACTTGAGAGCAAAATTTGGCTGTGCTTTTTTCATTTGCCCACTCTCGCACTGCTCTCTATCATCCTTATTGTCCTTCGAACAAGTGTAGCGTAAAGGCGGGGTTATGCGTATGTGTGTCTGTGCGGATATGTGAAGGTATGTAAATACTTATGTACATATTTGTCCTGCGGGACTTTTGGTTGCGTTGTTGAAAAAAAGGTTCGCTCACCCGTTCGCTGTCGCACACATACCTCCATACTCTACAATCGGATATACGTGTATGTCCGTACGCCGTTTGGCATTGCGTTGCCTCGCTGCTGTGACACTGCGTTTATTTTCTTTGCGGTGCGTGTGCTGAGCAGACGTTTATAGCACGTGTACACGGTTGTCCCGGCGTAAAAGAAACAATTCTTACTGGCTTTAGTTGGTTTAGCGCGCTGACAGCTTTCAGTAGGCTTATTTGTGGTAAATTTTCGAATTTCGAAAATTTAAACGTCAACAATTAAACTGCAACAAAACGGTTTCAGGCATAATAACGGTTGTGCAGCATAAAAATTCATTTCGAAAAGTGTTTGAAAAAAAAGGTGTGTGAATATTTTAGTGCTTGGCTGAAATTTAAATACGATAAAAATAATTATTTTTTTTTGTGCATAAAAAATGCTCTCACTTTTGCAACAACGGTGCATTGCTTCCTGGCTTTGCGGCCACCAGAGGTGCATGAGCCGAGCAAAATTGATTAAACAAAAAATCTAGCACACAGGTTGCCTTGGTTTTGGATTTTAATGCAAAAATTAACATATGATTAGCATTCGACACACCGGAGCAGCAGAAAAGCGTTCCATTTTCGCAAACAAAATAAATCATTAATTTACGGTGAAAAGTAGTAGTGAGTGGTGCTTAAACGAAAGTAAACAAAGTTTGTGCATACTCGTACATACATATACATACGTACAACTTTCAATTGAAAATGATCAAAACAAAAGTTTAGAACTTTTTCTGAAAATTAATGGAAAATTAAGAGTTTGAATCTATGCATAGAAGTGAATGAATTAAGAGTTGTTTTGAAAAATCTATTAAATAATGGAATATATGTACATACATATATATTTTCTGTAAACTAAAAATAACATAGTTGATGAAATTAACTTTTAAACCAGATTTACCGCTCATCCCTTTCTAAGATACTGGAAACTATGTGCGCTCGAATGTTTTCAAATTCCAAATTCACCAAACCTTAACTAAAAGTGTTCGAAAATTACTTTTATTTTTCGAATTTCTTAGATTTTTTAAATAACAGTGTACTTTTGCTGCAAATAAACTGGCTTGCCAGATCGCGCTCATTTTTAATTAAGGACAGTGCCACCAACTTAACAAAAAAAGTGCTAAAAAATATTCGGTGCGGGCAGCTTAAATGCCAATTTCTGAAAAATTTCTGGTCTTAATGTGTAATTGGCGCTCTGTAACCGCTGAAGCGATATTTCGACGGAGCTCCTCCTCTAACTTGCAGTTTTGCATCTTGGTGCTTTTGTCCAACGAAAGAAGGGACGTACAGTTTATCCTAAGCCACCTCCGAATGGCTGAAGTTTTGTTTTTACGAAGGAGCCTTTATTTCATGTCAGAAATACACTCGGATATTGGTCGTACCAGAATTCGAACGCTGGCTTACCGAATGGCAGTACGCAATGCTAACTACTCGGCTACCGCGGCTACCATACTTCAAGGAAACTTGTGTATTCTTAAAAGCAACGGAATAGTTTTTGACTGTTTCTTGCCACATGGTGGATGTCTGTAACTTTATTACCCACGCAGATTTATAAAGCCACGTCAGATCTGAGATCGTAAGCATAGCTCTAGATACATGGGAGCAGCTCAATGCTCGCGCGATACCCGTTCTTTGGCCAACTACTCAAGTGATAGTTTGAAATTTTTCAAATTTCAATTTTGTTTACCAAAATTTCTTTAGTTTTTTTAACGAACGCAATATTTTGTGTATATAGAAGTAGAGGATATCAGTATTTTAAAGAAAGTGTAAACATTAAGAGCAGAACAGCAATAGGAACCAAAACAAGCGTGTTCTTGGATCAGCCTTTTTGGTGAGTTTATTGGGACACAAAATCTAATCTGAGTGCCTGGGAGACCACCGATATATAGATTAGTGAAATCAAAAATCTCTGTCTAGCTTTCATTGGACTTGCAATTGATACCAGGGATCGTATTGTGTTTGCGTCAAAATAGTTGAAATATCAACTTATAATATTGCAATAAACGGTTAGTCTGCAGCTAACTTACTCATCGATCTGCGATACATCCATATATAACTCGATTGAAGTGTATAACATCACGCCATTCATTACTTTTTATCACTGCATGGCGCCAATTGGATATACCAAGTAGAACCAAGTCCACCTCTACCTCTGGTCTTTCCTACGGAGTGGAATGTCTTCCTCTTCCTCTGCTTCCACCGGTGGATACTGCATCGAGAACTTTCAAAGCTAGAGTATTCGCATCCTTCTGGACCACATGACCTAGCCAGCGTAGCCGCTGTTTCTTGATTCGGCTGAACTATGTCAGTATCGCTGTATACCTCGTACAGCGCATCGATCCATCGGTTGCGGTATTCGCCGTTACTAACTGATACGGGACCGTAAATTTTACGCAAAACTTTTCTCTCGAAAACTTCCACGCCGACTGATCAGATGTTGTCATCGTCCATGCTTACGCATCATATAGCAAGACGGGAACGATGAGGGACCTGTAGAGTTTGGTTTTCGTTCGTCGGGACAGGGCTTTATTTTTCAATTGCCTACTCTATCCAAAGTAGCACCTGTTAGCAAATATGCGTCTGCATTGATTTTCCAGGCTGAGGTGTTAATACTGGTTTCAAGATAGACGCAGTTATCTACGTCTTCAAAGTTATGACTGTCAAAAGTGCCGTGGGAGCCGAGTCGCGAATGCGTGATGTCAGGAAATATTTCGTCTTTCCCTCGTTCACTACCAGACCCATATCCCTCGCTTGGAGAAAGCAGAACTCGCGGCGCTTACAATCTTAGCGTTGCAGTTCAAAGTCTTGTGCACGGTTAGGCTCAACAATTACACTTTGGTTTCAAAATTGTGGCATTCTGAGTAAGCGTGGTTGTCATATTTTATAATACGTAGTGAAGGAAAGAAGCTTCAGCATATTTGAGTTCACGCAGAGCTCAAAACGCTTAGACTAGTCAGATATTCCTTAAATAGTCACCTGTATCAAAGTCCATAGTATTCCTATCAGAAGTGAGCTAAACGTGAAATTCAAGAACATGGGTGGGAGGTCGTCAGCTTGAGGCTTTCCTCTAGTTCCATAAGTGGATACGTGATATCCTTCCATGCTCGAAGTTACAGTGCTACGCATTTGTAGCTGATTTATGAATTCAAGGACTGAGTGATTAGCCCTAAACTCTTCAGGGCATATGTATTTAATTTGGGTTGGGAGCAACAACATATATAATCCAAGACTTTGCCTCGAGGAGAAGCTCATATGAACATCAAGAGAAAAGCAATCTTTTCATTTTCAGACGATATTGACTTCAAATATAGTATATATTACACTAGAAATGGTCATCAACGACGTAAAATAATTATGAGTCCTGCGTGCCTGTCAACTATTAATCCTAAATAATATTACGTCATGAAAATTTATTATTTATTTATTATTTAAAAATGTATAAATTAATATAGCACAATTATTTTCCAACTTTAAGAGATTTAAAATCTCAATTTATAACCTCAAACGGCTGAAAATTTTTCATAATAACAGTGAATAATTAAAAAACAATAAAACAAAATGCCCACCTCTTTACAGTTAAATTAATAAAGTTTGCTAAGCGAAAATACAAAAATGAAAATCTAATATAAAACTAAAAAAGTTTTTTATAATTGAGAAATATTCAAAACAGTTGGCGGAAGTTCAAAATTAAAAACACACATACACACACATTCACACACCGCACAGCACAGCTAAGCACAAATAACCACAGTTATAACCGCGGCATAGCGCGGTAAACAAAAATATAAGGCCAAATAGTTTGAGAATAACGAGAGAATAACAACAACAAGAGAAGATAACAGCAACTATTAAAAAATAACAACAAATTAAAGTGATAAAACAACAAAAAACGGGAAGAAGGCAATAAATTTCCCAACCATACAACAACAGCGAAAAATTCAAAAGCATCATTTAAAGAAATCCCAAAGGGCACACATTGAAAATGGGCTGCAACACCAGTCAAGAGCTAAAGACAAAAGATGGCAACGCCGGCGAGGCTGAGCAAGCCGCCGCCAGCGCCACTGCCGCCTCCATCAACACCGCAACCAGCAATGGCGACGTTAACGCTGTGAATGCTGGCGAGCAGAATGGCAATCTGGTGGAGCAACAAAAGATTGGTTCTGTCAGTGTTGGTGGTGGCGTTAGCGGTGGTGGTGGTGGTGGTAGTAGTGATGGCGCGCAAAGTAGAAAGACAGCTTCCGCGGTCTCCACCTCATCCGCAGCGTCAGCTGGCGCATCCTCACGGCCGACGTCAAACAATCTCACAAATCACTCGAAATCAAATTCAATTATAAGTAACGGTGATGCTAACAAGCGAAGCTCTTCACGCGATGAGGGTGATGGTGGCATACTGGAGAAGGCGTTGGCGGCTGTGAAACAGCAGCAGCAGCAATGCGATAAAGCGGAAATATCCGAGTTCAACGATATGGGCGAATTGGGTGATTTGGGTGAATTGGGCGAAGATGAAGGTGAGTAGGTGACATTGCTGCGCTAAGTACTTATGTACATACTTGTCGCTGATTATATATACTTATATGTATACATGTACGAGTAAATACATATGTAATTTTTCCCTGTTTTGCTTTTCATTTCATTTTATTTTCTTGATTTTTTTTTATTCTGCTTAATACATGTGCGTTATTCGCTCTGTGGCGCTGTTCTGTATCAAAGTATTTATGTATTGTATTGTACATACGTATGTTGGCATGTACCAGAAAAAGTTTATAAGGTGACGTCTTGCTCGCCCTCTTTGCTTTGCTACGCGCTGCCACTCAAGGTGTCCTTTGCTCCCTGCCAAATCACAACCTAAGCTAAACATGCTCACGCTCCAGTATTCCGCCACCAGTTATTGCGGCGCTTGTGCTGCGCATTTTTAATCATCATCATCAGATTTCTTGAGTTTTGGAATTTTGCGAATTTGTTGCCTCAATTTGTGGCTCACAGATATTGTCTCTAAGACGCGCGTACGCCTCCTGCATTCTTCCTTGTTTTTTATCTATTTTTTTTTTGTTTCCCTTTTTACCTTCGCACACGTTTCATTTGAAAGTTTTCTATTCAGCTATGTACATAGTATAGTATAGTATTTCTATTTTACCGTTAAAATGGCTTCGCAAATTATTTGACAGCTGTCAGCTTTTCAATTGTTATTTTTTGTTTCTCATTTTATTGAGTTTATATTTCTTCCTGCACTCAATTTCGAATTTAGCTGGTTCTACAAAGAAAACGGTATCGTGGGCGAAAAGTTTCGTATATTATACATACATACATATATTTATTATGATAATTCCGTTCCGTTCTAGAAGAGCTTATTTGGTTTAAATTTGCCCCAAGTCAAATAACTTCCTCAAGTTTTGGATCAGTTCGCTTAGCAGAGCAAATCCCAAACTCCCACCCATCAAAACCGTCCCAATCGAGGTTCATATTTAAGACATTTCATGTTAGTCAGTTGACTGAAATTCCTGGTTAATTACATTCTGGTTACATTTTATTTACAAATGATGATACTGAATTGCAAAAAAAAGTCGATCGCATAAGTTCTATTTCAATTAAACACTTTCCGTTGGCTCTGCTTTTATAATTCTACGCCGGATGAAGTATGTTTAAACCCAAGCAGCCATCATGCGGTATTCGTTTATATCTTTCCTACATAACTTCTAGATCTTGGTGGAACCTGGAAATTAATCAAAATAATTGCGGAGCATATTTTCTCCGGTCGATAATGACTCGCCGTAGCTTATTGGGTGATTCTTATGCATCCATCTTCAAGTCTTTACCTCACACCAAATGATTACCAGTTGCTCCTGCTTATGGTGGAAGATTTGGCTGTTGACGAATTGGGCTCAAAAGAATTCTGCGAAAATTGATTGTTTCAATTTTATTCCCATAGGGGAGATTAACAAAAGTTCGCTGAGTTTACCAGAACAAAAGTCTATCTATTTATTTATTCGTAATACTTGTCCTTTTTTATATTCCTTTCATAATCGCCACAGATTTCAGTATATTTCTTAAGCCTATACATCCACTTCTGAAAACAGTCTTCAAAATCTTGCTTTTTAAGCTTATCACGTTCAGCATCAACCGCATTAATTATCTCCTCGTTGCCTTTAATTTTTTTTCAATTTTTGGAAATAACAAGAAATCGCAAGGTGTTATATGATATTTTGGTATGCACTCCTCGGTGTAGCATTTTGCAGTTACCTTCTGACTCTTTTCCAGTGATCCAGTGTAATAGCAGCTCGATTTTAGATCGGGTGAAGTAAATTGACTCTTTACTTTTGCTGCTGATTTTTGTTGCTAATGTTATACGGGTGATTTTGCTCCTGTTAGGCATAGCATGGGCTGCTATTTGGCTTATCGGTCGTACTTATAGAGCCAAGATTCGTCACCAGTAACGACTTTACTAAAGCTGCTTGGCAGACCTTTTTCGAATTTATTTAGGAAAAATTGCGCAAAATGCACCCGAATCTTTTTTTGGACCTCATTTAAAAATCGTGGTACCCATTAAACAGATTTCTTCGTGTATCCCAGATGATTACATAATATTCGCGATACAGCCATGGCATTCCCAATGAATAATTTCTTGTGTGAATTGTATGCCTTCGTTAATTTTGGACTTCACCAGAGCTACAGTGGCGACATTAGTGGAAGATTTTGGTCGACCTTCTCGGCGCTCGTTCTCTGCGGAAAAATGTCTGGTATGGACACTGCGTAACCACTTAGAAATAGTCTTTGAATGCGGTGTAATCATACCATATGCTGAGAATCATCAGCACCTACCGATTGGTTGCCGTCTGCCTCCTGAAGATATGAAATACATGTCTTAGTCAAAAAAGTTAGGTTAGGTAAGAGGTAGAAAAAATATGCAACTGCTTAGGGAATTTCCTAATTTAATTTAATTTTTGTTTTCATATTTTATTAAAACTAAATTTATTTATAAACCCATGTGACGATTTTAAAAAAATTATAGTAAAAATAGCAATCGCATATCGAAAGATCGCGATATCGTTCATCTCTGCTGAGTGTACACCATAAATACATGGGCAAGGGAAAGAGGTGTCTTACCTTTAAGAATTTTCATGATTTGCTAGTCTTCTTACGCCAGTTTCGCTGGTCCTTAATCTTTTTAATTGAGTTCGGATAATAGGTACCGGCTGAACCTGGGAGGGATACTTTCATAGAAAACCTTTTAGCCTTTCGTCTATGGTCACATATTTTCCATGAATGTAACTTTGTTGCCAATTTCTGGTAATCTCTTCGAAAATGTGATTTTGTTTTTTATCATCTTACTGCTCTGAAACATAACGTTGTATAATTGACGCTTTGTAACCACTGAAGCGATTTTCGGCCGAGCTCTTCCCCCAATTTGTGGTTTTGCGTCTTGATGTTTTTCCAAAAAATGTGGGGACCTACAGTTTATACTAAGTCGACTCCGAACGGATAATTTTTTTTATTCATGTCCGAAACACACTCAGAGGGTTGGACATTCCCTTCTGATGGGCGACCGCAATTAGAAAATTTAACTTAATTTAATATTTAAATTAATTTTCTACAAATTTTGAATGTTGGTCTCACGGGGATTTGAAATGAAGCCTTCCGAATGTCAGTAACGAATGCTAACCACTCGGCTATCACGGCCGCCCTGAACTTAACGTTGTATAATTGACGCTTTGTAACCGTGCCTCCTTACGGCCGATGGTTTATGATGAGGAGCGTCTATATTTCATGCCAGAAATACACCCAGAGGGGTTGGCACTTCCTTCCCTGCCGAGGGATGACCGCAAATAGAAAATTTAAATTAATTTTTTTTTTATTTAACTTTTGGATGTTGCTCGTAAAAGGATTTGAACTCTGGTCTTCCACATGACAGTACGCATAGCTAACCACTCGTCTACAGCGGCCGAAACATCACGCTACTCTTCGAAATTTTCTTCGTGGCTGGATCGTCGGCATAAGCTGCCTGTAAACTTATATTTTCTTCTCATCATTTATAATTTGCTTTTGGACTTCAACATCAAATAACTTTGAAAGAGTTGCCTTAGCCAAAAAATATTTCAGACCTTTTTCGTAGATCGGTAAATTTCCTATAAGAATATGTCTTCATTCTCGCTTAACAACAATTTGTTCGTGTAGATTAAAAACGAAAAAAAAAAAAACTTTCATGTGTTATTTAGTTGAGAAATCGAAAATATCAATGAGCCAACTCTCAATATTAATTTTAAGAGCTTAAGCCATACCATATTTTTTTTGTCATTTCCGATGAGATTTTTAGGGTAACTAAGGAAATTTCAGAAATTTTTTTTTTCCAAATGTGACTAAAATCTATCACGACTGTTTATCCCGTTTTAACGCAACACTGTAATAAATATGACAAGATAACCTGTGTGGATCATTTATTTGAAAGCGTCAAACAAAAGTTGTAAAGTACTTAGAGCGCGTCAAAAGGAAGATCATCTAACATTAGCCTATTGAGAAATATGGCCTTCCATCTTGAGAAAAGTGGCCGATAAAGAAATATTTACGAATTCTATCCAGATATAAATTCACTCCTTATGTACGTGTAGATTATGAAGATGCTCAACTAATGAAACTATGCCATTTCGTTTGGTTAATATGAAAAGTAAACCCAACGGAATGATTTTGTTTCATTGTGGTGCCATGTTATCGCAGTGCAATAAATTCGTTAACATTCATTTTAACATGGCTGCTTGCTATGATTTAACAGCACAATTTAATATAATGTTTAACATTAGCTGTTAACGCGTTAACATTAACGACAGCTTTTCGTTTCTGTTAAAAAGAAAATAAAAGATATTTCGATAATTGCTTTAACGATAATATATGCAATGGTTTCAAATCCAATTTTTGTGATTAACATGCAATTTTTCGTCACGATGCAGCTTTGGTCTAAACTATTTCGCACTGAAGCGTTTTTTCCGGTTTCGTCTTAATTTTTGTTGACGCGACCATTTTTGCCTTGCTTTCATTCATTTTCAATTTGAAAATAAAAATGCACTAAATGCATTATTTCTCACACACGCGTGCATACTTTCCACAAAGCCACCATATACCATTATTTTCAAACTCGTAAACGGTGGGTACATATGTATGTATGTATGTATGTAAATTACGCCACAAATGATTGCTTAGCGAAATTTCACCGCTGACTCATAAATCGTAAAATTTTTAACAACTCAATGATATTAAAATTCTGGCGCGTGGCAGAAAGTGTAGAGCTGCAGAGCTGCAGATAGGAGAGTTTGTTGATATTTTTTCAGTGCCCAGAGACAGGATGTGGGAGTTTTGCAAATGTCTTCCCTCTAAATAGATTTGCAGTGGGTGGCTGAGTTATTTATTAAGCCTCGTCCGTTAGTCAATTTGTATTTATTTATTTTTGTTGTTTTTGTTATGCCTATTGTGATACTGTTATTTTTGCTCACACACTTACATACATTTCCATTGAATTTACTCT